AGAACTGATACAGGTAGCTTGGAATACTTTAGCTTTCATTAAGTATATGCTAAAGGCATTCCAAGCTACCAGCATCATCCCTAGTAAGATCATTTTATTAAGTATATGCTAAAGGTATTCCAAGTTACCTGTATTGTTTCTAGTAAGATAATTCCATTAATTTTACAACGATGCTTAAGGCGTTACTTATATTTGTTTGCGTTTATGTTGTTACAATTGTTCATAACTCATAGGTTTGAAAACCTTGTTGTGTTTTACTTTATATATATATATTTTTTCATGTTGATTTATTCTACTTTCTGACTAAACTTGGAAAAAGTTTGTTTGTTTTTTTAATTTTGCGCAAAGCTACAAGAGGGCTATCTGGGCTAGCCGTCCCTAATTTAGCAGTGTAAGACTAGAGGGAAGGCAGCTAGTCATCACCACCCACCGCCAACTCTTGGGCTACTCTTTTACCAACGAATAGTGGGATTGACCGTCACATTATAACGCCCCCACTGCTGAAAGGGCAGGCATGTTTGGTGTGACGGGGATTCGAACCCGCGACCCTCAGGTTGCGAGTCGAGCGCCCTAACCACCTGGCCATGGAAAAAGTTATCGTATGGAGTAACAACTGAGAAATGTAAACATGTAAACCTTTACTGCAACGGCAACATCCATAGTTAAATACTGGTAAACCTTTACTGCAACGGCAACATCCATAGTTAAATACTGGTAAACCTTTACTGCAACGGCAACATCCATAGTTAAATACTGAGCTCAATTTATACTCTTTTATCTAAAACTTTTAACGACGTGATGTTGGACCCTTTTCTTTTTTTTGGTAAATCCTTTTACCTAAAAGACGCTAATCGGATTTTCGTTTAATTTGGTTTGTTGGTCTGGAACTTTCTAAACTGTTGGTAAAGGAGAACTGGCAAACTCAATTACTAACAACCAGTATCAGAGTTACTATTCAAATACTATCTGATTAAATACAATAGACAAAAATAATAACTGTTGACGCCCATCTCAGGTCAATAGTATTACTAGAAATAAAATGGTGGACGTTTACATTTTGGGCGGAGAGGGTGAGGCGTGTGCAAAAACGAGTTTTCTATATGTAAACAAAATGAGTGGTAAAAAATAACTTTAGTATGTTTGACCAATCAAATATAATTTTATCTAGACTGTGATTCTATTTGAATATTTTCGCTTTTTTACAGTATTAGTTCTGAGTGAAAAAGAATCCACTATTCCAAAAAATATAGCAATGCCTGGATTTCTTCAACATGTACCATGATAATAAATCCACAGTTTTCAGTGTTCGAATTAGTTTTTAATAGAAAAATGTTGCGTCACATACTTAAGTATCTAAACAATACATGTTGAGGAGGTATTATAATACGAGGGTCAAAGGTCAAGAAAAATATGGGAGCATAATGAGACAAAACAATGCAGTGCTGTGAATATGATAAAAGTGATAGACTGTGAGTTTGAAAGTGTTTTTTTCTCAGATATATGCCTTTGTTTTTTTTTTACATATTTTGTATGGCATGGAATTAATTTGATTTAATTTCTTCTTCTTTGAGGTCATATACATCACTTTTAATTACCACTTTGTTATTGTACTTTTCTTAGTGTATTTTTCATTTACTTATTTATCTACTTTTTATTTTTTTATTAGTAAGTTATTTAGTGTCTATTTTTAGGAACAATAATATTGATAATAATTTTTATATCTTTGGCATAAACAAGATCATTTGCTAGATTGTTTTATATCATTTATAGCAATGAAAACCCTTTAAAAATAAATAATAATTACAAAAAAATTCAGGAAAAGTGCAACAATTACCACAAAAATATGCACACATGTAACAAACATGCAGCAAAGACACATAAGTGAAACACTTTTATCATATTCACTATGCCTCATTATGCTCCCATACGTTTCATGACGTCTGACCCCCGTATTTCAAGCCTTACTCAACATGTATTGCTAATCTATCTTGATATCTCATAAAGCATTTTATTAAAGATTTCTAAAAATTAATTCAAACGTTAAAAACCTTTTATTTGGCATTACGGTAAATGATAACGAAATTTCAGAATTTCTATTCCATTTTGTTAGCAGTGGGTTCATTTTCCTCAGAAATAACACTAAGCAAAAACTCAACACATTCAAATAGAATCATAATCTACTTAAAAGTATCTTACTGTTAGAGTGGTAAAACGTATTACAATGATTTTTTTAAAATTATCTTATTAGATTATGCAAGAATATTTTATGTACACAACAGAGCCTTTTTCTGACAAAATGTAAGCACTGGCCATTTTGTTTCTGTTGACCCCACTCACCTGATGTCGGTGTGAAAAAAATTATATTTTTCTAAACATTTCAGTGAGATACTACTTGAATGACTGATACTGACCAAACATGTTGTTAGTGTGAATGTGCTTAAAAGTCGCTATGAAAAAAAAACTGACATTTAGTCACCAATCCAGTCCTCCTTTATGTAAACGGACTTTTTTTGAGTCTCATATGACAACTTATAGACTGAAGAGCTCCATATGATTAGTATTTGTTTACAGTTTTCATTCTTCAATTAATACAAAAACCTCAGATATAGACTAAAAGTAGAATTCTCTTTCATAGAACTAATAATATTTTCATTGAATGTAGCAATGTGAAATAAAGTCATATTTTACAAATCTTAAAGGATGGTATATAAATAATGTTACCGTTAATCGCTATTTTACATATTTTCAAAGCAAAAAATTAAAAACTTCATTCTTGCATTCTCACACCTATTTAAACAGGTATTGGTTAGCGTGTCCAGCTAATGAAAGCATCACTTATTTTCTTAAAATCTTCTTAACATGTCACTGATTGCACCAAAACTGAAAATTGGAAATCTTCAAAACTTTAATTAATAACTCCTTGTCTTTGTTCTACTTAAACCTTTATTTTAGATTTTGCCGAAAGTGTTGTATTTTGGACCGGGGATAATACACAGTTCTTCTGTAGTGTAGTCGGGACCGAAAATCGCGGGTAGGCGATTTAAGCTACTTCAAGTAATATAAGTATTATTAACGTGAATAAATATGTAGCAATAAAATTAAACTTCTTGCAGCATTTTTTGTTCAAATATTGCACAGGTTTGCGTGAAAAATGTATGAATTTATTCTAGATAACACTTTTCGGTTTAAAATACTTTAAAAAATATTTAAACTTAAAGAATTATTAAGATTTCTTGACAAAGCCGTAGTACTTAACATTATGTGTTTTATTTGCATCTGTTGTTAGTGATAGGTACTACTTTGTCTTGATTTTCTTTCTTAAAATTTTAAGAGAATTGCATGTAAAGTCTACTGATTGCAGAATTGCATGTACACTCTATTGATTACAGAATTGCATCTAAACTCTACTGATTGCAGAATTGCTTGTACACTCTATTGATTACAGAATTGCATGTAAACTCTACTGATTGCAGAATTGCATGTACACTCTATTGATTACAGAATTGCATGTAAAATCTACTGATTACAGAATTGCATGTAAAATCTACTGATTACAGAATTGCATGTAAAATCTACTGATTGCAGAATTGCATGTAAACTCTACTAATTGCAGAATTGCATGTACACTCTACTGATTGCAGAATTGCATGTGAACTCTATTGATTACGGAATTGCATGTAAAATCTACTGATTGCAGAATTACATATAAACTCCACTGATTGCAGCTAGTGCATTCCCGCAAATTTCTACTAATTCATCTTTTATGTTAGGCCAACTTCGGGAAAAATATTACTTCTGGGTAATGCTTTAAAAGGTCAGAACTTAAAAAAAGGGGTAATGAACTTAAACTGAGAAATATGCATGAAAATCAAAGAGAACTAAGTTTAGTAGACAATATGAAGTATTAGCCTAAGTCTCAGAAAATGAGAAAACATAGTACATTTAGAAGTTTCACAGATTTCATATATACATATATAAATTAAAGACAACTAGGGACCTGTTGGTGTATCTATGCCCTCCCATCTACTAACTCAATATTAAAATGAAAAAAATTTAAAGGAGTTTAAAAGAAGCATTGATAAATATTTGAATCATAAGGGCTAGCTTTAAGTATGTGATTTTAAGGTTATGCATCATATAATATCACTTAAGATGGCCTTAAACCTACAGCATTGTTTGTAAAAATATAATAGTGTAAAAAACAATTTAGATGAAAATGAATGAAAATGTGTTATAAGTTGATAAGAAAAACCACAAATGATCATTTATAAGATGTGCTAATAATAACTGACAAAATGTACATATGTACATGTATTCCAAAAATACGAATTTATAAGTTTGACATGAAAGTAACACAATATGGTACATATGTGTCTATGTTAGCTTTCACACTTACAAAAATAGTTCACTATAATGTCTCGATCAATTGCATCGAACCTCAGTGTTATCAATAATTCAGTTTTCAATAACTTTGAAGTTCTATTATTTTAGTGCTGTTATGTTTGTTTTATACAACAAATATTTTATGAAATACCTCTCGTTTTAATATAAGTACACGTTATATTGTGTAGAAATACTATAAATCTCATAAACAATACAGTTAAAAATTGTATACACAATAACATATTTAAATGCGTATTGGCACAAAAGCAATTTCAAAGATACGTAAAGTAGTTTTATAACTTAAATACAATCAAAGTAGCCATAAAGCTGAAGTTATTATTTCATCAATCGCCTAAGTATACCTGCAAGTTAAGTTACCAGTTCAGTCACCATATACAACTAGTGTTACACTTTAAAATGACACAGCTAATATTACTGAAACGTTCTTAAATTTTGAAAAGTAGGTTTGGTTTTTACCAGAGTCTCAAATACATGAAACCAAACGTACAACCATTCTCATATATGATATAGAAATGTAAGTTGATTTAAAAATAAACCATAAACCAAGCTCACATTATGCAAAAAAAAAGACATTATAAAAGTTTATTGCTTTTTACCTTCTTACATCGTCTCGTCAAGTTTTATCAAAAGGAACAGTCGGTTTCGGTGACGCTTTGGGGCAGAGCACTTGAGAAGAAGACTTCTGCTGTCGATAGAACGGGTATAAGGCTGGCACTGGAAGCTCTGGAGTCTTGCTTCTTTTCTTACCCTCCATCCGCTCACGCCGCCTTGCGGTATTCCTTTATGTATCTAGTTAGAAAAATATTTTGTAACGCAGAGCTGTCTTGCGCTTGGTGTTCATTAAGCATAATGAAAATAGAAGAAAAGTGTTAAGTAAGTTATCATTCAAACTGTAGCATAGGAGACTGAGTATATTTTGATATAAAATACTAATCAAGGGCTGTCTTATAAAGGGGCGATATTCATACATTACATTTCTAACTATCTTTTTCCACCAGTTACCCAGACAGATAAATCAAAACAAATATCAGCATGTAATCTAAATACAATTTAACTATATAAACAATTATAAAACTGTACTTGGCCCTCAAATGACAGGCACTAGTACTCAATTCATAATTAGAGAAAAATCTCTCCAGTCAAAGATAAAGCATCTCTTCATGTCTATTTCTACTCAAAAATTAAAATGGGCCATTAAAACATATAATTTATTTTAATGGCATAACGGAGACTAATTCTTTCAGAGTCTTTTTTTTTGTTTGTTTTAACTAGATATTAATCTCCAGCCTGCATTGTTTAGAAAACTGTAACTGGATATGCTTGTTTCTTTGAATGTTCTATTAATTATTCGCTGAAGATTTAGATATTAATTAAAAAATATAATCTTCCTTAACGGAATTACAAATTAGAGATTCACATTATCAATAAAATAATGTATATATATAATTTTTTCGATCGTGAGAAATGTATTTGCAGAAGTCAAATACAATATTTTATCTCGAGCAATTTATTGCTGTTGTTGTTGTTGTTTTAGCGCAAAGCTACACAATGGGAGTATCTGCACTCTTTTCCTCCGGAGAAAAACGAATCCTAGATTTTATCGTTTATGTTCGAAAGCCTACCGCTGACCTAATAGGGACATCTCGAGGTGCACTCGAAATAACAAATGTAAAGTTATTCTTACGCCACTTTTAAATTATTAAGTATTAAACTCTCTCATTTTCAAAATAAATTAATACAAATTTTCCCTCTTTTCATTGCAGTAATTTTGATTAAACATTTAATGATTTAAATTTAGATAATTATTTTTAAAATGTCTAATAAAGCTGAATGTATACAATTCTTTCCCTCAACGTTCAATCATATTCTAAAGAATTCTACAATTGCATATAATGTTTCCTCAGAATCATGATTATAGGCCTTCGTAGGTGATAATATTATATTAGTAACTTCCTGTACTTGGTAACTAAAAAATTAAATTTATTTTAATGACCATATTACATATTAATATACAGATAGATCTATCTTTAAAGATAATCCATAAGTTGTGTTTATTTTTGACATCTAAAGAAAGCAGAATATCATATATTTATCTTCTTTTTGTTTTTTTTTTGGGGGGGGTAGGGTATTTAAACTTCCAGACAGCTACATCCAAGATATCAAAAACAGAAAAAAAAACATGACACGTGATTGGTAAATATGTAAAACACAATCTACAATACGTGAACACTAAATTTGTCATATTTACCATCATATTTCTAAGGTTTCTAGATCAATAAATATTGCTATTAGAAAGATAAAAGTTGAAATTTATCCTCCGACGTGGGACTATTGATATGCTCATACAGCTATGCGACTATTATGGGGACGTTAATGACAATTTCCGCAGTTTACTTATTACTCTTAGTGAGGCGTTTGTAGCATCTTGTTTTATTAACATTTATGTTATATTTCCTTATCATTCTGTTCCATTATTAGCGAATATCTTCCTAAAATTGGCTGCAGATAGTAAATGGTAGTTTTAGATGTGAAACATTGTGGGTTTGAGTAACTATATTTTAAGTTAAAGTTGTATTTCTTAGCTCTAATTTCATTTCTTTTGTGAGACTTGTGATTAGACGAAAAATCTAATGCATTGTTTATTCACATCGTCGTTTGTGTGTCTTCCACTTCTCTAAATAACTTCTGTTAATAGCACGTGCGTTACCATTCCCACAATGTTTTATCAAGTTTCGCTTAATGCAAGCATTTTCATAAAACAATTAATATTCTACCATAGCAGCAAAGAATAGTCTCTTATTTCTTCATTTAAACTTAATTCGTGTAATATGGACTGAGCTGCAAAACACTGTAAAGAGTATAAAGTTTTTCAATTGTGTTGTGTTAAAAATTGTGAATTGTTAGAAGTCAACCACATTATACTCTTACGTTGTAGGTGGGTTTTGTGGTACAGAATATTTCCATACGGCTCATCAAGTGATCACGAAATGCAAATTAAATGATACTAATTATTAGATCATATTTATGTTCTTGTTGTTCTTTTATAAAGAAATAACAATTACATTCAGAAAAATTATTTAATCAAGATATATTGTGAAAGAAGGAGTGATAACTGCGTTAAATACATTTATGTTTATATTTTGTTTCACATTTAACTTTCAAAACTGACACCTATAAATGTTCCGTCCTTCTCAAAACCTTCACAACTAACTGTTATGCATGTTACTTTCATTTAAACCTTCAAAACTGACACCTATAAATGTTCTGTCGTTCTTAAAGCCTTCACAACTAACTGTTATGCATGTTACTTTCATTTAAACTTCAAAACTGACACCTATAAATGTTCCGTCCTTCTCTAAGCCTTCATAACTAACTGTTATGACAAATGTTTTCATTTTAAACTTTCACAGGTGACTTCTGTGAATGTTCCTTTCTTCCCTAAGCCTTCACAACTTAATATTAAGAATGTTATTTGTGAATGCCCCGTCCTTTCCTAAGCCTTCATAACTTGATATTAAGAATGTTATTTACATTTTAAGTTTTCACAACTGTCTTCTGTCATTGTTTCGCCCTTCTCTCTCTCTCTCTCTCAGGTTAAACATTCACAGTTGACATCTGTGGTGCTTTATTGCATTTACATAATAAAATCTCACGAGTATGTATTTTTTGATAAAAAAATAGATTAAATTATATGTATATGGTGTCACTTTACTTTTGGCCTACATCGTGCATTAAAACTACTGAATAAAATAAAATAATTATTCTACATATGTATATATATATGAGTTAAAGTTTCATCCGGAAATCACATTTGTTATGTGACATGAAGTTTTGCTTATTATAGCATTCTACAGAGTACTCAGGAAATCTGAGAACTAAGCTTTGTTAAAAAACGTAATTTATATTTTGCAAAATCCATGAGCTAGGTCTTATTCAACAAAATGTAGATAAGATACTGCTTCTTACCTAAAGGAAAACATATGACAGCTCTAGCCCATCTGCTGAAAAATGAAACTTTTAAGCATTTAATAACAAAATAACTCATGATGGAGTTAACAAAACCGAAAGCTAAGAATACGTCAAATTATAAATGAACGTAGTTTTGTAATCTGTAAATCTTTAAGAATTTGAGAAGACAAAAAATAAAAATACATTAAGAAAAAACAGTGCCTTTACATCCACATTAAATATTGAATGAACTTACAGCGAATGCCTTTCCAATCTAATGTTATTTATTCTTGTAGGTTGTTTCATCATAATATAAGAAGACTGTATATTATATTTAATCTCTTTCAACAGTGGTAGTCTTGCTATTGATCAGCAGTGAGCTATATAAAAGAAATCTTAAAGAGAATGTCCAAGGTTTACGAAACGAAAAACCTCGACTTCGCCTTTCAAATTACAATTCAATCTTTTTGCTTATTGCAATCATTCTGATAGTCATGTTGATTTGACAAAAGACGTAATTAATTTCCTGGTGTGATGGGTTTACAGTTTACAATCAGATGAGTGAAATGATGAAAAACTTGGTGAGAGTGTCTTGTAAATATACATGAATAACTTAAAATGGTTTTACAGATTTTACAGTAAAATCTATTGTCGTTTAGCCACAGGTAGTCTTTCACTGTACTTGAGAGAAAAACAACAACAGACAAATTCCTAAGGCAATAAAAGTCCTAACACATTGTCTCAATAAATTGATCTGAGTAATACCAAAGAATATTACAGACATCTTAAGCTGTGATTCGTTCTAAAAGTGACAGTCAATTCTCTAGCGTGGATTATGGGTGATACGGTGCTGTTGACTGGTTGTCTTCCCTGTGGTCAGTAGTTCAAAACTATGATAGGTGGACGAAAACCTTACTAACTTTGCCATAAACACACAGAAACAAATACAATAATGTAATCGATTTTTCAAGTTTTAATTTCGTATTTTAAATATTTAGAATATCATATTTATGATTATATTTGTTTGAAATATAAAATTTTATTGTTATATTTTACAATTATTTATTTTATTTCGTTCATTTCACCCTTTAGATATTAGAAATATTATTATTTAGTCAAACCATCCATAAAATAAAAATAATTTGCAAACAGCAGATTCTAAATTTATAATGCACTAAAATGTTTTGATTCTGCATTATTTTCTATGGATCGTGAAGTTTTGGGTTGTTGTTGTTTTTTCATAATTTCGTAAATAAAGCTATGGTAAGAACTATGTTTGGGCTGACAGGGGGAGAAGCAGCTAATAAACAGCACTCACCGCCAATTATGGGAATATTCTTGTCTGAAATAATAATGGGATTTGACCATCACTCTTATAGTGTACCCAAGGCCCCAAAGTTAGAGCATATTTGCGTCAACAGATCGCGAATTATCTGAATCCTCGAATCTACAGTCCAGATAGGCTAACTACTAAATGACACCCAATTTGTATATAAAGAAAAGAATAGAAGCTCTTCATTCTCACTTCCCTATATGTCACCTGGCTTGAAGCTTTGAAATCACTAATTGTTCAAAAACAACATTAAAAACGTCAAAATTTCCATCTTGATGCACTGATATCATGCTCTTTCAAAGATATGTCAACTGCCCTGGTTTATCACTATCTATATAAAAATCTTACCTTGCAGACAGTTATAAGGATGACTTTTTTTTTCTGTACGATGCATTCGGATTTGCTATTATATTTTA